ATGAATTTTCATAGAATGCTGCCATGTATTTGATTCTGTTTAATTCTCAAAATAGCCCTCTAGAATATTATTTCCATTTTAGAAAGACGGAATTGAGGCTCAGAGGTGGCAAGTGACTTATCTGAGTTTATTTCATTGTAAATGGCACTTCCAGGCCCTTAACTCAGAATTTCTGCCTTTCTGCCGCCTTCCTCTGATCACAGCTGCCTCAGCTTGTTGTTAATTTTATATTTAGCTGTATTAATTGGTGCTAGGAGTCTTCATAATGCTAAATGTAAATTCTTTGTTTTGTTCAATGTTCTTATTTTATGGTTGGCAAACAAAAACAACAAAACAACACTGACAACAACAGAAACAACCAACTGAAGCTGCAGCTTTTAATCTTTCTAAAGACAATAGGCTAAAGTGAGGTCCTCATAATAAGGTGCTAGTCACCAGGAAGGAAGCCAGGGAAAACCTCCTCCCAGGGGGTAATTGATCCCTATTGGCCTAACACTGCATGTAGCACTGAATTAGGAGGCTCCATGGAGAAATGTCTGCTTATTTTCCTCTGCTGTCAGAACAAAGTTCACAAACACCTTTGTTTTCCCCACACCCTTGGTGTTAGCTAGTTAGGGCCCCTATTTATGTCCAGGGGACAGGACCTGGACATTCGTAAAAGGACTGAATATAGATGGATAGCTAAGAAAAAACCAAATGTTAAGATTACCATTATTTATAGCCCAACGATTTAGTATTCTAAAAAAAAAATCCAAGAACAACAAAATAATCCCTAAGAAGGACAAGAATTTTAAAACATGCAGTTTAGAAAACCAAATTAATCAGGCCTAGGGCTCAAGTAAAAGAAAATCTGAGATATGAAGTCTGGAACACTGGGTCTACATTCTGCTCCTGACTCTATGCCCTTGGGGAAGACACTGAATAGATGGCATACTATTAATCAGAACCTTAACCAGCTCTATTCTCACTATCCCAGTAAAATGATGTTAAAAATTAGACCTCGTGACATGAGAGAAGAGGGGAAATTAATTACAGATTACAAAGAAAGTGTGGGATCTAACTTTAGGGTGAGGTGTTTTATTGAACCTTTAGGGTTGGTCATAACACCTGCCATATAGCAGGTATTCAATAAATGTGATTAGACTGATGGAAAGGCAGGCTTTCCCAGTGATGGTAAAGGACCTGGGGCAAAAGAGACCTGTGGTTGAGTCCTGATCCCCACACATTAACACAGTGACTAGACAAAGTTATAAGCCTCCATTTCTTCCTATGGAAAATGGAGATAATACCTCATAGGGTTATGAGGATTAAATAAGAAAATGCTTAGCTCAGTGCCTAGTACATAGGAAGCACACTGTGAATATTAGTTATTATTATTACTAATACTGTGATCATATCTTCCATCCAAAGACTTCTCTGAGGAGCAGGGAGGATCCAAAGAAGCCTGCAGGTGGGAAATCTGTTATCCTTCTAGGACTTTAGACTTCTGCGGAACTGCACCTCCTCCCTCTCCTAGTTCTTAAGAACAGAAACTCTCCAGGGGCCTGCGGTGAGGTAGCCGGTGGGAAGATGAGGTGCAGAAGTAAGGTGGGCCCTGCGAGCCTCAGTTTCAGCCTCTTCTGCGCTGAGACCCAGGCGGATCTTGCTTGGCCTGTATGCGTTACTGGGGGAAATGGACGTGGGCCTGAGTGCCGCAGGTGCGAGGGCGCTGCCCCCAGGCCGACGACCCAGCGGGGCCCCTGTAGCTGTCATTACTCCTTCTGCAGGCAGGTAGGAGAAGCGGTGGCCAAAGTGGGAGTCGACCGCTCAGCGCAATCTGAGTGTTGGCCGGGAAAGTCTAGGCTCTTTCTAAATCTCGCCGCCAGACCTGGAGACCCATTCGCATGTATTTAAGGCCTTTGCACACAGAACGTTATCACAGAATGCAGCCACCTTTCTTAAGATCCGGGAAACCAGAGGTCGCTCCAGCAACTCAGGGTAGAGGAATTCCTCCTATCTCCATGTGACATCTTCTAATTTAGAAGAACTAATGTTAGATTTCTCTTGGGCCTTTCCACCTACAGCGATAGTCTTCCCTTTGTTTAGCTAAAATTGAGGCAGGCAGGACAATATGATTGGGGGCATGAGCCTATTAGCGTGTAAACGTATTTACATGAAGTGTGCCTCTAGGGAGCCATTCAGAACCGACCTCTCAACCACAGAAATAGATGAGATTTTGAGAACATTGAGAAGCTGCCTTTTGCAAAGTAAATTTACCATGGTCCTTGACGAAAGGGGGTCGGGGGCGGGGAGAAGTCCAGCCGAGAGAGGAGCGCATTCCATGCTATATTTTTGCAGCTGAAAAGCTGCCTAATCATCGCTAACCGCTTCCCGCATAAGAGTTCTGGGAAGACTCCAGAAAAAAGGCAAATGAAGACTTTCAACTGCCTCCTTCGGGCTGCTGCTTCCGGAAGCCGAAGCCCTAGCACGCAGAGCAGCAGGAGAGGGCTGCTTTCAGGCAGTTCCACTGAGCAAAACAAATTCATTTAATGGCATAACGTTCTGGCTTAAAATTTGGAATATCAGAGGCAAAAATATCGTTCAAGAAACTATGGACACTCCGCGCCCTCATTCATTTCCATGGCAGCAGGGTATCTGCATCTTGAGCAACCAATAGAGATTCATGCCTCGTATCGCTCTCACCTCCTTTCTTTTTAAAGTAAAGCCCTTTCCAAAGAAGGCGGCCAGAAAATGGACCCCACCGGGGGAAAAAGAAAAATGAAACGCAAACCACCTTGGCACTGCTTGCGTCTTCCAAAACCCGGTGGGGACAAGGCTATTGAGAGTCTATAGGTAATTCTTTTATATATATAAAATGTATACATATGTATACATTTTATACACAAAATTATATATATATAGTTGTATGGAGCCGTGAAGCAATTATCCATGCTTTTGTCTCCCTCAAGTTCCCCAGGTGGAGGCAGTCATAATCATTATAAACCGCCTTAGTGACCACCAGGGACGGAAACCGTTAATTACCACGTCTCCTTTGATCTCCACACAAGAGGCTTTGGTATTGGCGCTTTCCAAGAACTGGACCAGAGGAGCCAGTTCAGAGTCTGACGTCGGTTCTGCATTTAACGTACACACCGAGGTCTGGATCAGACTCCCCCGATTTTAGCGAAGTGTGTTAACTGCTGTGCTGCTAGAGGCTAGCAAGCTCCCTGTGCGCAGCTGATTAGTTTCAGCAACTCGCCACCTGGGCGCTTTTCTTTAAATTTGGGGAGTAAACTGCGAAAACAAACAAAAAAATCTCCACGTCCACTGGCTCTCTCCCCTTCCCCAACTTCCTCTCTCGACTCGTTTGTGGGAGTTTTCTCCTCTTTGCTGGAACTATAATGCGATGCGCAATCGTTTGTGAATGAACAAAAGTCATCTGCAGGCAGGGCGACGGGGACAGATCGCTGACGGCAGATTAAGGGTGGGAGCAAAGGTCCGGCCTCCAAGGATAATGGGGAGCCGTCTTCCCCCACGCCTGGTCTCTATGGCCTCCTTCGTCTTCCAGGTAAGATGAATGTTCCTTCATCCATCATCCGCAGAGTACCCTCCCTCAGGCGTGTGTAGAATCTGCTGATGAAACCTATTAGCCCCTACTGGGCAGCTTTGTGGAGCCAACCGACGCTCTTCATTGTGGTCTTTGTCTGCAGAATTTAAGCATTTACATAATGCATTAGCACGGAACTCAGCACCGGGTGGGGACACCGCGTGCCGAGCCTGGCGGGGCTAACGCTTCAGCGGCTCCCTCACCCGGCAGCGCCCTAGGACCACCCTCAAGGATTCACTGGAGTTGGCTGCAGGCGCGCGGGCAAAGAACTTAGCATCTCATCCAAGTACTTCGCCTTCCTCGGCCATCTCCGGGATGTTATGCTTAAAAACATAAAAATAAAAATAAAAATAAAAATAAAGGGAGGGGGGCAAAGTTTCGGTGGGTGAACTGAAGCTGGGTCCATGTGACCCTGAAGCCGGAGAAATAAACTTAACAGGAATCTTGCTTTCCTGGCGGACGTTGGACCTCGCCGTTTTTCATGCGGACGGTTGGAAGCTTCGTGCTCAACGGCCACAGGTGCCTAGGAGCGCAGAGAGGCCTCGGGTTCGAATCGCCGGCGGGCAGGGCCTGGACTCGCGGGTAGCAACCCCCGCCCCCCTCCCCCACGCGCACCGGCTGAGAGCATGGGGGATTTACGGCATTTGAAAGAAGAGGGGCTGGGCGCGATGGCTCACGCCTGTAATCCCAGCATTTTGGGAGGCCAAGACAGGTGGATCACTTGAAGTCAGGAGTTTGAGACCAGCCTGGCCAACATGGTGAAACCCCGTGTCTACTAAAAATACAAAAATTAGCCGGGCGTGGTGCCTGTAATCTCAGCTACTTGGGAGACTGACGCACGAGAATCGCTTGAACCTGGGAGGCTGAGGTTGCAGTGAGCCCAGATCGCGCCACTGCACTCCTGCTCTGGGTGATAGGGCAAGGCACCGTCTCAAAACAAAACAAAACAAAACAAAAGATTCGGTCAGGAAAGAATCCGCAGGCATTCGAGGCGCTCACACTTTGCAAAGTAAATTCAATCTCTTTATTAAGCCGAAGTCCCGGATATCCATCCTTTCAGAGGGAGGTGGTCCAACTCAGAAATCTCGCCCAAGAGGATCTTCCACCGAATACGACCCGGAAGTGCCAGGAACTCGCCCAGTAGCGACAGGTGCAGGACCTTTCGTCCCGCCACACCTTGGGACTCTACCTCTCTAAATAGAGTGCTTAAAAGCCGGTAGCGCAGCCGGGATCCGGCGTCGGGAAAGAATCACCGAGTAGAACCCTGGAGCTAGAAGGCGGCCCGCCCCCCTTCCAAAGAAACCGGGATCCCGCGCCCTCCCCGCCGCGAGCGCCGCGCGCAGGCGGCGTCCAATCAGTGAGCTTTCCGGGTCTGTGACGGCCTTCGGCTCTGCCCCCTCGACGGCCATAAAAAGTCACAGCAAAGCCTGCACCTCCGAGCACCGCGCGCGGTCCTGCCCCCGGCACTGCCCACAGGGGCGCTTCTTCTCCGGCTGCTTGTAGCACCGGTCTCACTGTCCCCACCGTCAGCCACCAGTTCCTTATCAGTCTCATTCCCCATTGTGGCTTTACTGAGCCCGTCGCCAGGCCTCGCTGTCTTCTTTGCCTTCCTCTCTCCTCCTCAGCGGCCGTACTTTGCGCCGTACCTCACCTGGCCTGCAGGTGAGCAGGAGCGCAGCGCCCCTGTCCGGCGAGCTTACCTTGCCCAGCCCGGCCCTTGCCGGAGTGGCACCGGCACCTCTCCAAGACTCCCTCTTCCCAGCAGGATGAAGAACCCCATGCTGGAGGTGGTGTCTCTACTACTGGAGAAGCTGTTCCTTATCTCCAACTTCACGCTCTTCAGTTCGGGCGCCACGGGCGAAGACAAAGGGAGGAACAGTTTTTATGAAACCAGCTCCTTCCACCGAGGCGACGTGCTGGAGGTGCCCCGGACCCACCTGACCCACTATGGCATCTACCTAGGGGACAACCGTGTTGCCCACATGATGCCTGACATCCTGTTGGCTCTGACGGACGACATGGGGCGTACGCAGAAGGTGGTCTCCAATAAGCGTCTCATCCTGGGCGTCATTGTCAGAGTGGCCAGCATTCGCGTGGACACAGTGGAGGACTTCGCCTACGGAGCTAACATCCTGGTCAATCACCTGGACGAGTCCCTCCAGAAGAAGGCACTGCTCAACGAAGAGGTGGCGAGGAGGGCTGAGAAGCTGCTGGGCTTTACCCCCTACAGCCTGCTGTGGAACAACTGCGAGCACTTCGTGACCTACTGCAGATATGGCACCCCGATCAGTCCCCAGTCCGACAAGGTATGACGTGTGACTCCCAGGGAAGTGGGCTCCGCGGGATGCCCCCTCCCATCCCTGACCTTTTCTCTTTCCTGCGAGTAGGGATCTAATTCCTGGACACCTCCACCATCACTTCCATACCATTCTTCTTTCTTTTTTTTGAGACGGAGTCTCGCTCTGTCGCCCAGGCTGGAGTACAGTGGCCCGATCTCAGCTCACTGCAAGCTCCGCCTCCCGGGTTCACGCCATTCTCCTGCCTCAGTCTCCCGAGTAGCTGGGACTACAGGCGCCCGCCACCACGCCTGGCTAATTTTTGTATTTTTAGTAGAGACAGGGTTTCACCGTGTTAGCCCAGGATGGTCTAGATCTCCTGACCTCGTGATTCGCCCGTCTCGGCCCCTCAAAGTACTGTGATTACAAGCGTGAGCCACCGCACCCGGTCTTCCATACCATTCTTAAAGTTCTAGATTAAGTAAGGAAAGTTCTAGTGTTCCTAAGGTAGGCTAAGTAAATAAACAAATGGCAACATGCCTTGCAGGATCTCTCGAAATGCACAGAGAAAGGGTGTGGCAATGCAGGACCGCTTCCAGAGATTCCAGAGCTGCCCAGTATTGCTGCAGAAGTCATCAGGTGTCCACCCACCATGTAGTTCAAATGACAAAGGGCAAGTGACTGGGGGCGGGGTATACAAGAAATCAGTCACCGCTGCTTGCAACTTTAACCAAGAATTTCACTTGAAAGGAAGAGGTCCAGAGTTTATATTTAATCCATAACACTATAAAAACAAAGCGAGTGACTTTAAAATAAGGAACCACGCAGTTTTCTCCCTTTGAAAGCTGCATAGAGGGATTTTTCATTGTTTGCTATAAGCTATCAAAATTCCCAGTAATATGGGCTCCCTGGTAAGTCCCTTATTCTTGTGTTGGTGCTTCAGAGTTGCATTTTCCTTGGTATGCTGAATTCTTTCTGGGTTGGCTTTAATCCCCATCTAGACTTCCTCATTGTTAAGCATCCTTTACCCATTAGCCCTAAAGGTAGATTAGAGTGTTTATGGATTCCCCAGAGATCAATACAATTAGTTTTCAAGAAGAAATGTTAAACATTGGAAGGTAATTTTTATGAGTATTTTGAAAAACAGTATTTTTTTTCAAAAAAAAAAAACAGAATTTAAGATTATTAAATTAGCCACAAATCCAAAGGGAAAAATGGATTTTTATTTCCTTTTAAAACCTCTTAATTTTTAAAAATAGTTAAGATTTTAAGCCTGAAACTTTATTTACAATTAGAAACTTTCTCAGCCTTCATTGTACTTGTTAAAGAAGTCATTGTTAATGTTCAGTCTTTATAATGGAAACCTGGGCAGTAACATAATGAGCTTTAGTGTTACTCTTCATGTTTAGATATTTTTGGGACCAGAAAAATCTGAGTCAGTTTTTTTCATGTAACCAGTTCTTAATTGCTCCACATCTTGGTTAATTTTTTTGACCCATTTGGGAACATCTTTCTCTATCCTCTGTGGGAGAACATGGAAGTATTTTGCTTTTATAGATCAGTGTATGAAACTCCTTGTAGATTTTATAGAGCCACAAAAGACTCAATCTAGGAATTCTTTTCCAAGTAAAATAAAAATACAGTTAGAGCACTGTGCAGCGATTCAAGAATCACAGCTCTAGTCCAGGCCTGTTTAGAAATGAACTCCACCACATTTACAAACACTGGCTCCCAAAGTGTACAAAAGGAAACATGTCAGATTTACTTAGGAACCAAGCAAATCATTTCTCTAAGGAAAAACAGTATTTCTATCAGGTAATTAGGAGTTACCCATTCATGGAACACATATAGTGCTGCATTATATATTTCTACAGAAAAACAGTAACTAAGGCTTTTGTAAGGTAGTAAAATATTTAATCTGCATAAATAACTAGTTGGAGTAGTTTTTCATCTTTGGAAACTTTGTCAGGGTCTACAGAAGTAGAGAAGTGTTTTAATTGCTGTTGCTGCATAGCACCTCTTGTGAAACTGAGTTTTGTCTTCACTTTGAATGGTCTAACAAACAATTTGGCCACAGAGTAGATTTCCCGGGAGAAAAAAAAGTTTTCATCCCAAATTTCCTAATTCTACAAACTGTTTTTGAACATGCACTGAGAGAAGTAGGTCATTAATACTGAAGGAAGGACTGGTTTCTACCTTTTGGAAACATAAGAAATTATTTGATTCTGGGTCTGATTGTTGAGTTCTCCATATATGCAACTAATATTAACATGAGAGTTACAAAGTTGCCTCTTTCTTAAATTTGAGTTAATAAAAACTCTCAAGAACACACTACCCCTAAGGAAAACACTGCAATTAGTTTGCAAATGAATGAACTGGAAAAGAACATTTACTCCTTTGTGGTAAAACTCTTTTTTTACAAGTTTATAAGTCATAAAATTATGGGATTTTTATAACGCTGTTGACAATCAGTATTTTGTAAACTAGAAATTCCTTTGGTTAATAACTATTACTATTCCTTATGCTTTTACTACTATGATTTTTTTCACTTTGTTAATACTGCTCTTTCATTGCCAAAAATGATGGCAAATGCCCCTTTTAATTTGTGTGGATTGAGTGCTCACAAAAGTGTTCCTACAGACTTATTGACCCTTTCTAGAAATTTCCTACTGTTGAGCACCACTAAAGATGCCTGCTGGTCTGCTGACCAAGTGAACAGGGCATTAGGCATTAGACATGCGATGCTTCTTGAGAAAAATCTGCGTTTGTGGGAAATACAGTCCAAAATGATTCCGATTGACTTAATTATAAATTATCAAGGAAAAAAAATAAGGATAACTGTATGTACAACTTAGTCATTTACCAAAATATATGTCTTCCATCAACCTCCTTTTCTCTCTGTCCTGAAAAACTTCAATTTGATCTTCACCACCTTAAAATAGTATACTTCTCAATACCTTGCTAGTTTATTAAAAAGAGACAAATAGTATGATAGAAAAATAGGCCAACATCTAGATAAGAGTTTCACACTTGTTTAGGTATTATGTAAAAGTATGGATAGAGATAACCATATTGTCAGGATGGTGTATTAAAACGTATTGAACTTGTTCATTTTATTCCTTAAGAATTTGGAAACCTAGCTGCCCAGTCCCATGTAAGCCACTGTAGAAAACCCTAAAAGCACGTACAATGCCATGTCTAGAAAAAGAGCTTAAAATTAGTATGAATAGCAAAACCCATATAGAAATGACAATCACTGCATTCTGGCATCGATGGCAATATGGTAGAGATAATTGTCAACAAAGACAGTAGTAATAATAATCATTGTAATACCTTACATTTATACAGCACGTAGAAGAATACAGAGTACTTGTGCATGAAACATCTCAGTTAATCCTCAGAACAATTTGAGTGTTCCCATGGAGGAGCAGAAGAGAGTAGCCTGGACAGGTTAAATGACTACTTGAGGTGACACAGCCAATAAGAGCTGGAGCCAGGACTCAGACATAGGCCATCACTTTCGAGTAACTTTATTTTTCTAAGGAAAACATTATACATATTAGAAGGATGCATTCCTCAGGGGTAGGGACAATATTTGTCTTTTTTTCCAGCAGCCGGTTATGTGTCATATAATCGATTCTGAATTTAGCATATTTAGTCAGGAAATGGAATTTGACAATAAAATCAGACTTTCTATACCTGTAGATTTTGAGATTTATAAAAAAGTTATTATTGGTATCATTAGATTTTAGAATGGCAAATTGGAGGAATTGAATCTACCTTTAATTGGCCAAATTTTATTATTTTTACTCAAGATTAGAGATACCTCTTTGCTCATCTAATTTTAAAATATGCTATTGTTATTGATAAGCACTTTGTTGTTTTAAACCTTTAGTCCTGAACAACTATGTGGTTATACTTTCTATAGTTTCCTATAAATGCTGTATTTACATAGGCAACTGCCATTATTAACTTAATTGCCTAAGGGATCATTTCTACTACTATAGGGTATAGAATCAGAACTGGACTCTTAACATTGTAAAATTTTTTGTAAGTCATAAGAGAATTTCTAATTCTTCTGGTAGACAGAAAATAGCTTCAAAAACTGATTTACTGTTTGATATATTCTTGGATTTAGCCACCTTTTCTAATTTTCCAAAATTTTATTTTCCAGTTTTGTGAGACTGTGAAGATAATTATTCGTGATCAGAGAAGTGTTCTTGCTTCAGCAGTCTTGGGATTGGCGTCTATAGTCTGTACGGGCCTGGTGTCATACACTACCCTTCCTGCAATTTTTATTCCATTCTTCCTATGGATGGCTGGCTAACTTCATACCCCCATGTCAGTGTGTGTATTCTGTATGTAAATATTTTTATATTTATAGAGCATCAATCAGTATAAGCATTATTGAGAAAAATGTGACCTGTAACACTGTGTTCTGGATAAAAATGTGATTAGGAATCACGCAGAGTGCTTACTGTGTAAGCCCAAGAACAAAGGCTTTCTAAATCTTCTCAGGCAGTTCAGATTTAAAGCACCATCCAAACCTTGGAAATATGACAGGTTGTGGTAGAATTCAGCAATATGAGAAAACCAGCCCCTAAGATCATAGCCACAGGCAATTAATTGTGGTTTTTTTCTCTTGTAATCCTTGTATTGTTAAGCAGAATTTGGAGATTGGAAGACTTACATTGAGACCAGTAACTTTACTGTAAATTTACTTTGTTTCATTGAAAAAACAAATTGGTAAACTTATATTAAACTGGAAGAACTTTCCTTATTCAAATGAAAACATGTTTGATGACTGGTCAAAAAATAAGCTCATAATCTATTTTTTTCATGTAGTATATAAGTCAAGAATGTTTTATTGTCATTACGTGAAACCAATATTGACAAATAGTACTTTAATGATATTGGCAAATAGTACTTTATGATAAAGTAAACGACCAGAATGATAAAGTAAATGACCAGAAAGTATAGAAATCTGTGTTTTCCTGTAAAAACAGCACCATAGTATCACTTGAATAATTGGATCTGGCTTTACTTACTAGGAAGCCTGGAATTCATCATTTTTTTCCTTTTATGTGCCACTGTGGTTACTTTAAATCACTCTCAGAGGTAAATGGATATAGGATTGAAGTTATGTGGGTATTTGGCATGTGTGTGTGAAATAAATATGTAGATAGTCACATATACACAGACTGAGAGACAAATTGTTCTTGACTGCTTTATTATCATAATACTAGTATGGTATAGAGTATCTATAGAAGTGAATGTAAAAGTAAGTCCAATCTATTTTCTTATGTCCTTGAATTTGTAGTGTTAACTTGTATATATGTTATTGGATGGGCTGTCTTTTAAAGCATTTACTAATGTACTGTGAAATTTTTAAAAGCCTTCAGATTTGTTTTCTAGTCACTTTTCTCCATATCATTTTGAATTATAGTTTATATCCTTAAAAGAAGGATGCCACAGCAATATGTAAAATCCAAACAAGTAGAACCCAAACAAATAAAATTGTTTAAAATAATTTTAAAGTGGCTTAGTACTGCCAGTCATGTAAATTGATTTTGCTGAGGGTCTTATAAGAATTGAGATATAGCAATGGTAAAACAAGTATTCAAGCACTTTTACAAAATGACCAAATTCTTAAAATGAAGCCACAGCTAGACTTGCATTTCTTAACTGTCTAGAATCACAAAATAACAATTCAATCATATTATGAGTGAATATGGGGAGGGCGGGGCCAGTCAATGATAATCTGAACAAATTTTAAGAACAGGATTTTAGATTAAATAATGTTTTATCATCACTAATTTGCCCACAACAAACTTAGTGTTTAATTTTTCAAATTAAATATTAACTTATTTAAGTCTTATAAATAATTAAAACATTAAATGGCAACACCACAGAATATAGGTGTTCTCTGGACCTATTCCAACCACTTAAAATTATCTTAAGTATGCATATATAAAAGCAACAACTATGAGAACTACTGTCTTAGTGGTTTTTCACTTACTATGTATTACCCTTGTAGGAATAGTTTAAGTAAATTCATTTCTTAAAAAGATAGTGTCCTCAAATAATTAATTTTTTTGCAAACTTTAGTTATTACAGGCAGCAAAAACCACTGTCTGAAATTAAATCTGTGTTCAAAGACCCCTCATTAAAAGCTAAGGACATTCTTAAGATTGGAATTGAAATAATTAGTCTTGACTTACTTCATTAAAGCAAGATTCAATTCCTTGTTCATTTGAGTGTTCATTATATGCCAGGCATTGACCAGTTGCAATTTTATGATCCAGAATTAATATTATTATTTGTAAACTAGCTATAATTGAGTATGTACAGTGCTGTGGGAACAGAGGGGAAGAAGCAATTAAATCTGCCAGAAGGGTAAGAGAAATCTATATGCAGGAGGCAATGCTAGCATTAAGCCAAGAAATAGTGTGAGGTGATCTTATCACGCTGATGTGTTCAACTGTTTATGGGAAAAGGAAACTAGGATGGTTTTATTTGTGAAATGTTCTACAACACTAGAACTGTTGAACTTCTTGGGAGAAAAGGAGAGTCTTTGTTTTGTTGTGCTGAGTTTGATTAGTTGCTTAAGAAAGTAGAAAGAAAAGCACATCTTCCTGATTACAGTTATAAAAGAAACCCTGAGGCCAGGCGCGGTGGCTTACACCTGTAATCCCAGCACTTTGGGAGGCTGAGGTGGGCGGATCACGAGGTCAGGAGATCGAGACCATCCTGGCTAACACGGTGAATCCCCATCTGTACTAAAAATACAAAAAATTAGCCGGGTGTGGTGGCAGGTGCCTGTAGTCCCAGCTACTCTGAAGGCTGAGGCAGGAGAATGGCGTGAACCCAGGAGGCAGAGCTTGCAGTGAGTGGAGATCACACCACAGCATTCCAGCCTGGGGGACAGGGCGAGACTCCATCTCAAAAAAAAAAAAACCAAAAAAACCCCTGAGCCATTAATGTGTCTCCTAACTTAAGGAAGTTCATGAATTTCTCTGGGCTTCATCAATTAAGATTCATCCTTATGCTTCTGCAAGTCTCTTGTATTTATGTATTTCTATCCTGATTTCTGAATTGATAACCTAGTAGTGTCGGATGAAGTTTTTTGTGCTTATTTTATTCTTTGTCATAGATTAAGGCAGAATAGGACTAACTGGGGCTAAGATGAATTAATGTAAGTGTCAGATACTAGGCAGGTGTTAGGGATGAAATGATGAATGAGGCATGGACCTGTTCCTCAGAGTTTATGGCCTAGTAGACATAATTGTATTAAGACTCTCTGCAGTTGACATTTGCATAAAGCTGACTGACTGAAGGAACAGGAAGTGCGACGGTTGATTTTAACAGATATGACCAAATTTATACAAACCATGTACCAACACTTGAAAGATGGGTGGATATTTTCCAGGAAACAGATTTCGGGCAGGACATTCCATGCATTGGAAATAGCATGAGCAAATGCATGAACATTGCCTACAACATGCCTGGACATAGCTTTGAGGTACCCTATGAGTTGTTGACTTGAAAACATGGAACTGCACAGGGCATTCAGGCAAGTGCAAGTGGTTCAGGGGCCAGAGCAGAGCAAGAGTGATGAGTAAAGATGTCAGAAAAGGAGAGCAATGGTCTGGTACAAGTCTTGTGTAGAACAAGAAGTTTAGACTTTTGAACTGGCAATCGAGATTTGGGGTTCAGAAAGATAAATCCCAAAAGTATGGAGGACAAAGGGACTCATTTTAAAGGACTAGCTAAGATGCTGAATCTCTTAAAAAAAAATAAAAGGGTCTGTAATCGTGAGGGTAGAGAGAAAACTGAAGGAACAGTCAACAGACTTTAGCAAAATCCTTTTATTTGATTCATGCATAACTCTTGATGGAGTGTCAAGGAAGAGTCATTCACTTTTCTTTCCTGCCAGAAAGTTGGTTCTTACAAAATAGATGAAATTGATGACTATGTGTATATTGGATACTCCTAATTTTAGCTCTGTTAGATATGTTTCTTTCTAAGGACAAGCAAGTATGTATAGATTTGTTGTTTAATTTTTTTTCAGTATAAATATGTTTCTTGTTTTTCCATTTTTCTACTTCATACTGTTAATGTCAAATATCAAAAGTGTTTTCCAGCAATATCAAGTTATGGCAATGGCAAAAGTCCTTGTTGTAGATGAGAAGCATATAAGAAATGGTTGCTAATCTTACTTTTGTATGATCTACTTAGAGTTTTAACCAACCTAGATCTGTCAGCTAAGCTAATTTTATATTTGGTATACATGTATGTCAAATAAAGTCAATTTTACATACTATCCTCTCTTGTCTTTGAATTTTAAATACATAAATGTAGATCACAAACTTTTTTTTCAGCATGGTAGCCTGAAGAATTTTGCCTCTCCAAGCTTCCTTTACAGATTACCAAACATAGTTTGATGCATTTGAATTTAAAACTTTACTGTGGATCAGTCTTCAGACTGATAAGATCTATGTTATCCATATCTTGAAGCCTACCTTGATTGTGTAGGAATAGGTTCTGTGTAATGTAAATAACATATCCCCTCTCCATTGCACAAAATTAAGTAACAATGACAACAAATAATTAGTCATAACACGAACTCTATACAGCTGACCCTTGGGCAAAACAAGTTTTGTTTGTTTGTTTGTTTGTTTGTTTTCGTTTTTGAGACAGGGTCTCTCTTTGTCTTATAGGCTGCAGTGCAGGGACACAATCCTAGCTCACTGTAACCTCAAACTCCTGATCTCAAGCGATCCTCCTGCCTTGGCCTCCGAAGTAGCTGGGACAACAGGTGCATGCCACAATGCCCAGCTAATTTTAAATTTTTTCACAGAGAGGGGGTCTTGCTATGTTGCCTGGGCTTGTCTTGAACTCCTGGCTTTAATTGACCCTCCCACCTAAGCCTCCAAAAGCAGTGGGATTATAGGTGTGAGCCACCAGGCCCAGCAACAACATGGGTTTTAACTGGGTGGGTCCACTTACACGCAAATTTTTTCAACCAAATGTGGACAGAAAATAAAGTACTCCTAGGATCTGAAACCTGCTTATATAGGGAGGACCAACTTCTGTATATGTGGGTTCCAGTTCCTGCAGGGCTGACTGCCAGACTTGACTATGCGTGGATTTGGGTGTACATGGGGGTCCTGGGCCAATCCTCTGAAGATATCGAGAGAACACTGTAACCAGATTTATGGGTGAGGAGGGGATGGGATGTGAGTAGAAGCAAATTCCAGGGCCAGTCTTGAAATGCATTCATAGCAGTGTCAAGGACCATAGAGGTCACTGAGCTTAATGCTTAGCCATCCAATGACAGTTAAAGATGTGGAAAATCAGGCACTTAGGGGTTGAGGTGCTTCAGAGCAAGACCCAGAACTTTGTGCCAGATTTCATTCCATTATACCATATGGCTCCCTGAGGTCTCCCAGGGATTAGACAAACTTTTCTCCAATGAATGTATTTATTTCTTGCACACCTTCTATGTACTTTAAGCAGGATCATACAAGAATAAACGGTTAGAATCTTAGTCCTGGAATTGCTCAGACTAATATAAAAGA